GCTTATTAGTATAACTAGTATTTTATATTTAGTATAACTTTTTTTTTTTTTCGATAAGTTGCTTACAGATTTTTATTTACTTTTTTAAATCTAATAATTAAACTTCCTACTCGTCAAAATCTTAGTGAAACAATCTTGAATAATGCTGCAACATATATTCAAAATAAGATAATTAAAAAGGCAACTGAAGAAGAAATTATAGTTACACTATCAATAGACGGTTGGACAAATATCAAGGCACAAAACTTACTTGGTGTTGTTATGATTACATCAGTTGGTGAACCTTTAATCTGGGGGTGCTCGAGATATTAGTATAGATCATAGCCGTACTGAAGATATTATGAAACAAATTGAAGAAGTTTATAATGATGTCAGGTCTAATAATATTAAAATTGCTTGTATTGTTACTGATAGTGCTGCAGCTTATGCTACAGCAAGGTAAATATTTAATTATAAATTTTTTATTATATATAATATATGTATTATTTAATTATTAATATTTAAAATTTTTTTAATATAGATCACGACTTCAGATTAAGCATCGTGAAAAAATTTACTTACCCTACTTCGCACATCTGATCAATCTTTGTGTAGAAGAGATTTTCAAAGAAAATAATAATTATCTTCATATTTCAACTCAAGCTTTATCAATTGCTAAGTTTTTTAATTCTGAAACCAATACTTATTAGGTTGGAATGTTGTGTAATAAGCAAAAAAGCCTTTATGAACACTATATTTCTTTAGCTAAACCTGCAGATACATATTGGAATAGCTATTTTTTTTGTTTTAAAAGTCTTTTAAAAAGCAAATGTGTATTACAAATTTTAATTACTAAATTTGAAGCTATTAATGAACAAGGAATTTGATGAAGTCATGATGATAAAGTTTTACAATGTAACTTTGTCAACAAATAAAAGATGAAAACTGGTGGAATAATATTCAAATTTTATTAAATTTACTAGAACCTTATTGTAATTGCTTAGATAAGCTTCAATCTAATACTATATGACTATATGAGGTTTTACATACCTTCGGATATTTGACTAAATTTTGGAAGAATTATGAAGATATTGAATTTGGTCAAAAAATGTTAACATGTTTAGAAAAAAGATAGAAAAATTAGGAGCAACCTTTAATTTTACTTTCTTTTCTCTTTAATCCTCAATATTACAATTCAAAATTTGTTTTAACAATTTCAGGACTTTCATATGTTGACTTTGGAAAATGGATTATTTATTACTATCAAGCATAGTTTAAACAGGTATCAGTAAAAATATTAATTGAACTTGAAAATTATCATCAAAAAAATATCTGTTTGATGATTATACTATCAATTAATTTCTAAATATGAGTAATATTTCTTAATTTTGGTTATTTGTATCAATGAAAGCATGTGAACTAGATGCTATAGCAAAAATTATATTTGGCATTTGTGTTAACTCAGTATCGTGTAAGCGATTATTCTCTACTATGAGTTGGATTCATTCAAAATCATAAAACCATTTAGATTCAAATAAAGTATTGAAAATTAGTCAAATTCATAGTTCTATTACATATGCTCATTGATTAACTGAAACAAAGGTAATTAAAAAAAGATATTCAGCAAATATAGCAATTCTATCTAATGAAAATGAAAACTTGCATAAAGATACTAAAGAAATACAAGATTTATTAGATGATTGACAAGAAACTATAGATGGCTGGATTGAATCATTAGAATATGAAAATTTATCTGAGTTAACTATTCAACATTATTCTGATATAGATATTGATTCTAAATGCAATGAATTTGTTAAAAGTTTTATTCATCCTGTGTATAATCTGACTGCTAAATAGAAGTTAGCAGAATTGTTTGTAGAAGACTTAAAAGCACTGCTTTATTTTTATCAATCTGAAAATGAGTAATAAGCTTATGTATTTTGTTCATTTTATATTATTTACTATGCTGACTAGTAATTTTCATTTAGTCTTTAAATAATATTAGGCTAACATTGTTCTGAAATATAACGTAGATTAAATAAAAAAATTATATAGTTTAGAGAATTCTAAACCTAGCACAACAAAGCTTTATTAAATTTTGTCAAATATTTTTAATATATAAATATTTGCTATTTCAATATTTAGTTTAATAAATGTTATATACATATTTACTATAGCGAAAGATATAATATGAT